CAATTGGTGCAACATTTCTTCCATTAACAGTATGATTCTAATATAGATATGAGTTCTTTTTTGGACTACCAACATTAAAAAACATAGTATATCAACATGTTTCATCATCATTATCGAGATTCTTGGCATTCTGTTTTAGTGAAGCCTACCTTTCCTTACCAAACAACAACAATCAAGAACCAATTCTGCCTCGGCTGTACACGCAAAAAAAAGTGACTCAGTGATGCACACGCTCAAAACTCGATTGTACATTTGCACAGGGCTTTTTAGTTGATGACCATTTTTCTCATTATTATATAATGTATCTTGTGCTATTATCATTACCATCATTAACCACAACGATGGTGATGATGATGATGATGGTGATGATGGTGATGATGATCATGATGTTGATAATGATCACGATCATGAGTGGTAATAATGTTTTCGTGATGATACTGGTGCAAAAACTTCAATATCAAATAGATCATTGTGACTGCAATGGTTCTCGTGATAATGATAACAATGATGACGATTATTTTGATGGGGTTGCTTGAGCGCTTGATGCTGTTGATGGTGCGGATACTGACAGTCTGGTCCCGAGCCTCCACAAGGTTGCTGGGGACATCCCACCCCGAATTCCAGCTGGATGATATGCTTTTAATCCATAGGTGGACGGAAATGATATTAATAACATGTAGCTACAAATAAATCATGCCTATGTAGCATTACACCATCCACATAGGTGCTAGAAATCATAACCAGTCACCATTGGGGGATTCGATTTCACTATCATAGCAATGGTACACTCGGCACACTCGGCACACTCGGCAGACTCGGCACACTCGGCACACTCGGCACACTCGGCACACTCGGCACACTCGGCACACTACGCACTCGGCACACTACGCACTCGGCACACTACGCACTCGGCACACTCGGCACACTCGGCACACTCGGCACACTCGGCAACCTCGGCACACTCGGCACACTCGGCACACTCGGCATACTCGGCACACTCGGCACACTCGGCACACTCGGCACACTCGGCACACTCGGCACACTCGGCCATGCGCGCCAAGCGTCCCAAGCGCGCCAAGCGACCCAAGCAACCCAAGCGACCCAAGCGCGCCAAGCGCGCCAAGCGACCCAAGCGCGCCAAGCGCGCCAAGCGACCCAAGCGCGCCAAGCGTGCCAAGCGCGCCAAGCGCGCCAAGCGCGCCAAGCGCGCCAAGCGCGCCAAGCGACCCAAGTGCGCCAGGGACACTTGCACCAAGACCGCCCCACATCACTTTGCCAGACCAAGCGATCCAAGCGCGCCAAGCGCGCCAGGGACACTTGCCCGAATACCGGCCCAGATTCCCATTACTCTCTGTAGTTGTGTAGTTGTGTAGTTGTAGTTGTAGTTGTAGTGTAGTGGAGTGTAGTGTAGTGTAGTGGAGTGTAGTGTAGTGTAATGTAGTGTAATCTAGTGAAGCGAAGCGAAGCGACATCTGAACCTCCAAAAGTGTTCCGAACCGTAGTGTTTTTAATATTTTGACTTCGAAATGTGTTTGGCGCCACAATGGCGTGCACTTTTTCGAGATCTGAACTTCCAAAAGTGGTCCGAACCCTTAGTGTTTTTAACATTTTGACTTCCAAGTGTGCTTCGCACCACAACGGCGTGCACTTTTTCGACATCTCAACTTCCAAAAGTCGTCCGACACTGAGGTGTTTTGCACATTTTGACTTGGAAATGTGCTTCGCGCCACAACGGCGTGCACTTTTTCGACATCGCAACTTCCAAAAGTGGTCCGCTCCTCTAGTGTTTTTTCCCATTTTGACTTGGAAATGTGCTTCGCGCCACAACGGCGTGCACTTTTTTTTCGATCTCAACTTCCCAAAAAGTCGTCCGCCACTGCGGTGTTTTTGTACATTTTGACTTGAACTGTGCTTCGCGCGCCACAACGGCGTGCACTTTTTCGACATCTCAACTTCCAAAAGGGGTTCTCGACACTGAGGTGTTTTTGGTTACATTTTGACTTGGAAATGTGCTTCGCGCCACAAACGCGCGTGCACTTTTTCGACCATCCACTTCCAATCGGGTCGGTGTGTTTTGTACATTTTGACTTGGAAATGTGCTTCGTGCCACAACGGTGTGCACTTTTTGGACATCTCAACTTCCAAAAGTGGTCCGAGTTTTGTACATTTTCACTTCGAAATGTGCTTCGCGCCACAACGGCGTGCAATTTTTCATCTCTCGTCCGGCCAGCTGGCTCCGCACCCGGTGCTTTAGCGAGCCTACTTTTCGACCCTCCGGAGCCACAAATCATTGGAAAAACACAGTGTTTCGCGACTTTCCTACCTTTTCGCGCATCTGCATCTTCTTTCTTCTGACTCTTTCTCTTCTACTCTTCTTTCTTCTAATCTCTCTCTCTTCTAACTCTTTCTCTTCTACTCTTCTTTCTTCTAATCTTTCTCTTCTCTGTGCCTCTTCCCTGCTCTGCTTTTCATCTGTCCATATTGTCGGAAGTTTGACTTCTAAACTTCCTTTGATAGGTAGATAGATAGATAGATAGGTAGGTAGGTAGATAGACAGACAGACAGATAGAAAGAGAGAGAGAGAGAGAGATAGATAGATAGATAGAAAGATAGATAGATAGCTAGATAGGTTAATACATAAATATATAGATAGATGGATGGATGGATAGATAGATAGATAGCTAGATAGCTAGATAGCTAGATAGCTAGATAGCTAGATAGATAGGTAGATAGGTAGATAGGTAGATAGGTAGAAAGAAAGAGAGATAGAGAGATAGAGATAGATAGATAGAGAGATTAGAGAGAGAGAGAGAGAGATAGATAGATAGATAGATAGACAGACAGATAGATAGATAGACAGATAGACAGATAGACAGACAGATAGATAGAAAGATAGATAGATAGATCGACACAGAGACAGATAGATAGATTGATACAAGGTAGATAGATAGGTAGATAGGTAGAAAGGTAGATAGGTAGATAGGTAGATAGGTAGATAGGTAGAGAGATAGAGAGATAGAGCGATAGATAGAGAGATGGATAGAGAGATAGAGAGAGAGAGAGAGAGAGCGATAGATAGAAAGATAGAAAGATAGAAAGATAGATAGATAGGTAGATAGAAAGACAGAAAGATAGGTAATTAGATGAAAAAGAGAGTCTGTAGATAGATAGATAGATAGATAGGTAGATAGATAGATAGATAGATAGAGAGAGAGAGAGAGATAGATAGATAGATAGATCGATAGATAGATAGATAGATAGGTAGATAGGTAGATAGGTAGATAGGTAGATAGGTAGATAGGTAGATAGGTAGATAGGTAGATAGTTAGATAGGTAGATAGGTAGATAGGTAGATAGGTAGATAGGTAGATAGGTAGATAGGTAGATAGAAAGAAAGAGAGATAGAGAGATAGAGATAGATAGAGAGATAGAGAGAGAGAGACAGACAGATAGAAAGAGAGAGAGAGAGGGAGATAGATAGATAGATAGATAGATAGATCGATAGATAGGTAGATAGATAGATAGGTAGGTAGATAGACAGACAGATAGAAAGAGAGAGAGAGAGAGATAGATAGATAGATAGATAGATATAGATAGATAGACAGACAGATAGATAGATAGAAAGATAGATAGATAGATAGATAGGTAATTAGATGAAAGAGAGAGAGAGAGAGAGAGGGAGGGAGAGAGAGAGAGATAGATAGATAGATAGATAGATAGACAGACAGACAGACAGATAGATAGATAGATAGATAGATAGGAGGTAGGTAGGTAGGTAGGAAGGTAGGAAGGTAGGAAGGTAGGAAGGTAGGAAGGTAGGAAGGTAGGTAGGTAGGTAGGTAGATAGTCAGAGAAAGAAAGAGAAAGAGAGGAGACCGCAACCACCTTTTGAAACTTCCGCCGCCGCCTTGTGCGGTACTACTGGTAGTGAGTGTGATGTAGTGTAATGTAGTGTGGTGCAGTGTAATGTCATTAGCGTAGTGTAATGTAATGTGGTGTAGTTGCAGTTGCAGTTGCAGTTGCGGTTGTAGGTGTAGTGCAATGTCATTCGGTGTAGTGTAGTGGAGTGTAGTGTAATTAGGGTAGTGTAGTGTAGCGTAGTGTAAATGTAGTATTGTTGTGGTTGTAGTTGTAGTTGTAGTTGTAGTTGTAGTTGTAGTTGTAGTGTAGTGTAGTGTGGTAGAGTGTAGTGTACTGTAATGTAGTGCAGTGTAGTGGAATGTAGTCTAGTGTAGTGTAGTGTAGTGTAGTGTAGTGCAGTGTAGTGTAGTGTAGTGTAGTGTAGTGTAGTGTGGTAGAGTGTAGTGTAGTGTAATGTAGTGCAGTGTAGTGAAATGTAGTCTAGTGTAGTGTAGTGTAATGTAGTGTAGCGTGATATAGTGTAGTGTAGTGTAGTGTAGTGTAGTGTAGTGTAGTGTAGTGTAGTGTAGTGTAGTAGAGTGTAGTGTAGTGTAATGTAGTGTAGTGTAGTGAAATGTAGTCTAGTGTAGTGTAGTGTAATGTAGTGTAGTGTAATATAGTGTAGTGTAGTGTAGTGTAATTGAATGTATTTGTGGTGGTTGTTGTAGTTGAAAATGGTACAAAACCTTCACGTTTTGCTCACTTTTGACAAGGTGCACAATCCCTTGCGCGTGGCACGCGAAACAACATCTGAACTTCCAAAAGTGGTCCGAACATGTGATGTTTTGAACATTTTGATTTCGAAATGTGCTTCGCGCTGCAAACGGCGTGCACTTTTTCGACATCTCAACTTCCAAAGTGGTCCGAACGTGCGGGTTTTTAGCTTTTCACTTGCACATGTGCTTTGCGCCCACAACGGCGGTGCACTTTTTCGACAAATCCAACTTCAAAAAGTTTTCCGAACCTAAGTGTTTTTAAGTCGTTTTCACTCTTCTGCTCTTCTCTCTTCTACTCTACTCTTCTCTCTCTCTGACACTCCCATCTCTGCTTTCCATCTGTCCAATTGTCGGAAGTTTGACTTACACTTCCTTCGATATTTACAATTAATATAGAATAGCATAATATAACATAACTAACACACTATAATATATCTATATAATGTAAATGTAAATATAATAAATAATAATAATGTTTAATATAATCCAATAATTTAATTTATTTTAAACAATCATAAAATTTAAACATAGGTTTTTTTGGGCATCAAAACCTTTCTCGTTATCCTCTCTTCCCCTCTACATGATCTTTTCTATAGATCTAGATTTAATATATATATATATATATATATGTATGCATCGTGTTTGGCAGGCACTGGGTGTGCATTATCATTAGGGTGAGTATGTAAGCTGATGAATCCATTTTGGCTCAAGTCTGAGCCAAACTGGCTTCATCATTCTTTCTTTTGCCAGGGTACCCACGCCACTTCTAGGGAGTTACCCTAGGGTTTGTGGTTTTCTCGTTCCTCTACTAGGGAGTTACCCTAGAGTACGGAGGTTACGAGGTGGGAGGTCACCCCCCGATGCCCAGGGCCTCTGTTGTCGTCCGGCCCGGGTGGAATGAGGCTGCCCACACCGATGCGGAGCTTCTTCATGCTGCTGCCTACTACGAGTTCAAGACGCACGTGGAGAGCTTGCTCCAACGGGGCATGGTGGCCCAGGCCACCCGACTGCGGGCGTCTGTGTGCCAAATTGATCATTTCCCCCCACATCCAATTGGGTTGGGGGTGCAGGGACTTCCCCCTTTCAGACGGTCACCTTGTATGGACGAAAACTGTAGGAGGTGCACTGAGTATCAGGGAGGATTCAAGTTCCCTTGGGTCGGCACATGGAACAGCTCAGCTGTCTTGGCTCTGCCCGGGAGTGACCCGCGGCGTGCGTGGCAATCCTACTATGATCGCCTGGGTGAGGCGAGGCTGGATTTGCTACTCATCGAGCCGCTGCGGACTGATTGGACGTCTCGGGACTTTGCGCCGGACAACATCTTTGGTTTGGTCGCCTTCATCGAGCACAATGCCGATAGCATGGTCGACCTCACCGAACTGTGGGACGTGTGGCGGACCTGGCAATCCCCACAGCGTCGATGGAGGGATCCATCGTTGGTGCCCATCCCGGCTGACCTGGTTGCGTGGAGAGCACCACGGGCCAGAGCAGTCCGGTCGTTATGGGGCTGGCTTGGTGCCATGGAGGCTGGGGAGGAACCCTTGCCACCTTGCAGGGCTTGTGGACTGCCGACACCTGAGCTCTGTGAGAGGTGCTTCTCCTCCGTGTGCAGTACCTGTCCACCCTCCCAGTGTCCAGGATGTCACCCCGTCTTGCGTCGAGACCCATCTGCAGCAGCTGCGGCCTAGTGATGTTTGTTTGTTGCCTGATGATACTGAGGTTTGGCCTGCAGTTTCAGGCC